GGGGAGGGGGATTGGGGGTGAGACCCCTCAATGTCAAAAACAGCCACTTTTTTATACCCAAATTCCCCTTTTTTCCACCCAAATTCTGTTTTTTCCCACACTAATTCCGCTTTTTTACAGCAAAAATTCCCCCATTTCCCACCCAAATTCCCCCATTTTCTGCTCCCACCCCTCCAATCTCAGCCACTCCTGAAGGGAAATTGGGGAGGGGGATTGGGGGTGAGACCTCTCAATGTCAAAAACAGACACTTTTTTATACACAAATTCCCCCTTTTTCCACCCAAATTCTGCTTTTTTTCACCCAAATTCCCCCATTTCCCACCCAAATGCCGCCATTTTCTGCCCCCACACCTCCAATCTCAGCCGCTCCTGAGGAGAAACTGGGGAGGGGGATTTGGGGTGAGACCCCTCAATGTCAAAAACAGCCACTTTTTTATACCCAAATTCCCCTTTTTTCCACCCAAATTCCCCTTTTTTCCACACTAATTCCGCTTTTTTACAGCAAAAAATCCCCCATTTCCCACCCAAATGCCGCCATTTTCTGCCCCCACCCCTCCAATATCAACCACTCCTAAAGAGAAAATTGGGGAGGGGGATTTGGGGTGAGACCCCTCAATGTCAAAAACAGCCACTTTTTTATACCCAAATTCCCCTTTTTTCCACCCAAATTCTGCTTTTTTTCACCCAAATTCCCCCATTTCCCACCCAAATTCCCCCATTTTCTGTCCCCACCCCTCCAATCTCAGCCGCTCCTGAGGGGAAATTGGGGAGGGGGATTTAGGGTGAGACCCCCAATGTCAAAAACAGTCACTTTTTTATACCCAAATTCCCCTTTTTTCCACCCAAATTCTCTTTTTTCCCACCCAAATTCTGCTTTTTTTCACCCAAATTCCCCCATTTCCCACACGAATTCCCCCATTTTCTGCCCCCACCCCTCCAATCTCAGCCACTCCTGAAGGGAAATTGGGGAGGGGGATTTGGGGTGAGACCCTCCCCTGGGTGAAAATCACCTCGGGTTTTCCTCTAATTCTGCTTTTTCCACCCAAATTCCCCTTTTTTCCACACAAATTCCCCAC